CGCTCCTCTCCGCGGGGCCGGCGGCGAGCCCGCCTCTGTCTCCCCATCGCACACGCTGCTGGTTCTCCTGTGGGTCAGGGATTTGTTGACTCCCAGTGTCCAGCTGAAATCGTTTTCCCAGATGTGGCAGTGTCCATGCTATGTGTGGTAATTGGGATCACTGGGTTCTAATTTGCCCGAGACTGTTAAGTGCTTTATCAGACCATGACAGAGTTCCACGAGTGTTCAAAAGCCTTGAGTGACCCTGGAATGGAAAGTAAGAATAGAGACAAATTTTTGGACTCTGGAGTGCTGGTGGTTGCATCTCCTGTGCCCTGAAGTTGATGTCAGGTGAGGCATTTCTGGGGTAGAGCTTACCTAGGTCAGGTGGTGTGTAGGCTGCAGTTTTCAGGTTCTAGCCTAGCTGGTTGGTTGCATTTCTGTGACTGAGGCAGAGAAGTAAGGAGAAGCAGAGCACTGAGAGCGATACCTAAGCAGGAGGTGCCTTACGAACTCTGCAAAGAAAATGTTAGATCTGTCTTAACATACTCCCTGATTACGGCCCTAGGCCAAGAAATTTATGGGTTTACAGTTACTCAAACAAGTTATTGCAAGGCCACAGAAGGTGGAGCAATCCACCTTGTACATACTTTGCTGTGAGAGCGTGCCCGAAGGTCCTTATCACAAGCAGGTAACGCGTACAAATCTGCACCCCAGCTTACCTGCAAGTGATCCATCTCGGTAGCCGTACCCCCCGGTACCCCCCACCGACACGGCAGTCCCGGCTGAGGAGTCCCAAAGCGTTCACGCGTGGGAGAGCCGTGTTGCTGCTCTTGCAGGAGCACCCTGAGGTCTTGTGTGTCTGTTCAAAGCACAGAGGATTTTGTGTGTATATTGGAAGCCCTTTTCTGGAGGACCAGAACAGGAACCGTGTTCTGTGGACAGGAACTGAGTTTACTGGCGGATTTCTCGATGCTGAGGAGCCGATTCAGTCTGGGCAGCTTGGGAATCTGGGGGTTTCAGGAGACAGCTCTGGTCCCTGAAGCTTTCCCCTCATGGATGGCCGTATTTTAGGCTGTCAGCCTTCTGTTTGAAAAAGTATGGGCTGATCCACCTGTGTCCAACCCTGGGCGAGAAGCCTTTCTGCAGTCGCACTCGGAGACTTTTGTGGTTTCGTTTTGGGATTCTCAATAGGAGTTTGTGCTCTGTGGTTCCTTTGAAACCCACACCCAGATTCCTTTGACTGTTGTTATTTAGAGATTGCAAATCGGGAGAGATATATCTCGTAGATATTAATTCCCTTCCCTTTGATTAAAAGGGTTGCTGTCTGGGATTGTGTGCGTGCTCACACAGGAATATGCACCTCTGACTAAACCTGTTTTTCCTCCATAGTTGAACAGAAGTTGAAGAATGAAAAAGGGCTTGTGTTTAATTGCTCTGTATTTCATGTTCAAGCATTCTTAGAAATGTAAATAGCAACTCGAGGTCTAAAAGCTTCCAATTAATTAAGAGGGCCACTGGTTGCCCCTTGAATAGCCAGACGCAGCCACGGCCTTTGAACCTGACTCAACGCAAGGGGTTTAATGTCAAATGGCCTGGTGCTGTCGGCTGGCCTGGTTCCAAACATTGCTTTCGCTGGGCAAATTCCTGCTCACGTCTGCCTGCAGCAGTCATCCCAGACATCCTCGGGGTGCTGACGCTTCTGCTTTGTGGCAGGCATTGACCACGATAGTCAGCTCAGGTTTCTCAGGCAGTATCAGACCTTCTGCAGTCTGTGGGCTGGAGGACAGCGCTGTGTTTGTCCCAGGGAAGTGACTGCTGTATTTTGCTTTACCGCCCCCGTTTGGCAGCGCAGACAGTCGTCCCCCTCCGGCACTGTAAGATCCCAGAGCTGCCTGTGGAGAGGAGTGTGCTGTTTGAACTTCAGCTCTTCTTCTGTCACCTCGTTGCTCTGTTTGTCCACTACATCAACATCTACAAAACGGTGTGGTGGTACCCACCCTCGCACCCGCCTTCGCACACGTCGCTGGTAAGCACCAAAGGGCAGCACCTGCCTGGTGATCTTCACCAGCTTCTCTTGGGTCGTTAGCTGCAAAGTTTTCTGTATGTGTTTGGTGTGAACTACGTGTGACTCTGCGGCCCGAGGGTTGCTCATGTGACTCGTATTTTGGGGTGAATTTTGGGGGCTGGCTGTCTGCTTGGCATTCTCTTGCTGATCTTGGAAGAGAGAGTCCGAGGAGAAGAGAATAACTTGGGAGCTTCTCTGTTGAGCGTGGGTTTCTGCTGCCTGATGGCAGGTGGAATCATTTTGGTTTTATCCCTGCAGAACTTTCATCTTATTGACTTCAACGTGCTGACAGTGACAACGATCGTCCTGGCACGCCGGCTGATCGGTGCTATCGTGAAGGAGGTAAAGTCCCCAAGCAGATCTCAGGACTGTTCTTTCCTCTCAGGTGAAGCGTAGAGCTCTGTGTCCCTTTTGCCGTTCCAAACTCTTCTGTCCTTTTCCAAAGAACTTTGTGCTATGTCCAAGTCAGAAACCGAGGCATGGTTTCTAATGGGAAGAACAGAGAACAGAAATGAGCACCTCAAGCCATTGCTCATGACTCTCTGTCCTTCTGTGACTGTTGCTGAATTACTGTCTCAACTAGACTGTAGTAATTCTGCTTTCTTCCTTGTGAAGAACAGTAGTTGGCTCTTCTCCTGTTCTCTTAATTACTCTGGCTTTCTGCAAGGAGGAACCAGTGCAGTTGGGTTTCTGCTGACTGCGGAAACCTTCCTTGGTGAGCAGGTCCAGGAGAGTGGGCTGGTCACACCAGTAACTACCAGACCTTAACGAGAAACTCTGGTTTTCTCTCCAGAGTTTCCAGCTTGAGGAATGAGGCCCTGGGTTTTGGAGAGTCCAGATCCCAGCCTACAGAAAGCCTCCCCTTCCTGGTGGCAGTCAGACAGAGCCTTTCACTAGCCCTCCTTCGTGCATATGAAGTTGATTTTACAGATTGAGTGCTGCTCATTTACTGTTTGCTTCCTGTAGGGTGGGTGGATGAGTCTCCCCTCTGCCCAGCTCTTTCTTCTCTCCCCGCAGGCTTCGCAGAGTGGCAAAGTCTCCCTGCCACGCTCCGTTTTCTTGGTGATCACTCGGTTTGCCGTTCTCACTGGCACAGGCTGGAGTTTGTGTCGATCAATAATTCACCTTTTCAGAACCTACTCTTTCCTTAACCTCCTGTTCCTGTGTTACCCGTAAGTATCTCTTCTGTCACTTACCTGTGATTTCTAACGTTGCTTCAGTGCAGCGGGTGTCGCTCAGTTGAAATGAAGCCTGAAAGTAAATAAGCACTCAATTACCTGGTAACAGAACTTAAATTACTCTTTTCCCTCTCACTGTGTCACTTTTCTCCTTGGTGGTAGGGCATGTCTGTAACATTTACCTGTATTGCAGCTTTAATATAAGCATTAGTTGTGGTTCTTAGATTGCTCGTGTCTTCTGAAAAGGAGTGTGTGCTTTTCTCCTGCTATTTGGAGAACCCACGTCTTCGGTTTACCTCAGTACTTAGGTGCCTCTGCCAGGTGGAGAGAGTCAAACAGCTTCCCTGCTTCGTGTTAACTAGCGAAAGGAAGCCGGCTCTGCTTCCAGTCGAGTAGTGGAAATAGCTCCCTTCCCTCTGGTAGATGCAGGAGGAAGCATCTCGGAAAGATCCGAGATGTGGTGCTGGTGTTTGAGGTCAGACCGGCGAAGCTCTGTTCTGGAGTTCCTGTAGGTGCTAGATGCCAGTGAGGAGAGGGACCTGAGCGTCAGGCTGGTCTGCTGCCAGCAAAGGCGTTGCGCAGGGAGCGCGTGGGGAAGTAACCACCTTTCTGCACTTTGCTGCTCCAGGTTTGGCATGTACATTCCCTTCCTTCAGCTGAACTGTGACTTGCGGAAGGCGGGTCTCTTCTCCCAGGTGGCCAACATCGGTCCCAGGGAGACCAGCGAGGTGAGCTCCAGGGGCAGAGACTACCTGACCGTCCTGAAGGAGACCTGGAAGCAGCACACTCGACAGATGTACGGCATGGAGGCCATGCCCACGCACGCCTGCTGCCTCTCCCCAGATCTCATCCGCAACGAGGTGGAATACCTGAAAATGGACTTTAACTGGCGGATGAAAGAGGTGCTGGTGAGCTCCATGCTCAGCGCCTACTACGTGGCCTTTGTGCCGGTCTGGTTTGTGAAGGTGAGCGAGGGCTGCAGCTGCTCTTGCAGACGCAGCTTCTGCAGGCGCGGGCCTGGCTGGGGAGGGTGGCGGGGAGGTGGGCGCTGGGCTGCGGAGCAGGCCTGGTGCTCGCTTCTGGCTTGGCTGCGACGTGGGAGAGGTTCGTCAGGGCTGGTCTGTGCGCACAGCCGGCTGCATCGAACCCATTTACAGAGGCCTGGTGAAAAGTAAGAGGCAAAACCATCTAGGTTTAACTTTGCTTAAACTCTGGATACCAGAGGACAGGCTTGTCCTGGTGAAGGGTATTCTGACCATCACGAGCGTGCGCATCCATCTTCTCGGGAGCGGTGGCTTCCTCCTGCCTCCCCGGGAAGCTGGGAGGACTCCAGGCCAACCAGTCCTCGACGCTGACCTTCTGTGAGGACAGAGCTCCGGGGCGAGGGGATCGACTTCAGTAAGGGAGGCAGCATGAAGGAGGGTGGACCTCGTTAGGATTCTTAGCTGTTTTATTTCAGTTCCTAAGATGTTGTACGATGAGACGAGTGTCTGGTAGTGAGTGTGTCACACCTGGGGGATGAGCCTAAGTCGCCTTCCCCCGAGGGGCTGGTGCTCCCACCCATCATCGTTGATTGATCTGGGGGAGCATCAGGAGCTGTCTCGCTGTTTCTGGTGATGGGTGATGATAGCAGGA